ACACGGATGCTTCCAGCTGGTAAGTCTGGGGCTGGGGGAGGGACTGGGGCTGGGGGAAGCTGTCCAGCTGGGGTGGGGTGTGTGGGATGTGGGCATGGCAGTGCTGGGAGTGGGGGCTGTGCCCTGCTGCTGCTTGCCCTCCTACCCGGAGTGAGCTGTACCCACAACCCGCCCCCACGTGCCAGCTGGGCAAGTGGCAGCAGGACAGAGCCCCTGCTCTGAGTGCTGCTGTGTGCCCCCACCCCAGTTAGGCAGCTTGTCCCAGCCCCAATCCCTCCCTCCCCCACACCCCTTTCCTCCCAACCACAACAGACTTACCAGCTGCTGAGGCAGCTGTGTTACCTGCCTGTTTAGTCTATGGCTGAATTTCTAAAGTGGCGCCAAATCTTTCTGGTGTGGTTTTTTTTTTTTTTCCCCCAGCTGAATTTGAATTGGGACAGTGATTTGAATCTCTGAAATCGTATTCGGCCAATTTGGAGGACAGCAATTCAAAGTGAATATTTGCTGCTTCTCACAGGCCTAGTGTCTATGACCAGTTTAATATTTTAACTTGTGGTCTAGATAAGAAATATGCCAGTGGTGCTCAACCTTTTGGCTGTACAGGCTAGAAGAGTGGTATGGGGCTCCTCTGTGAACCTGATTGGAATGTGGGGGCCTGGTGCTATTCCCTCCTAGGCCTTCACACTGGGATGGGATCCTGGGGCCTGGCCCTGCATGCTGTGATTGGGTGCAGAGCCCAGGGCTTCCCTTGAGTCTGGTGGTTTGGCAGCAAGGGAGAAGTGCCTCCATTCGTCCACCCAGGGAAAGCCTAGATGGTAGCTGGCTAGTAATCTGAAGTGGATATACTTGCTTTCTGAAGAAATCAATCTGTTCTGTGCCGCATCTAGATCTTCACAAACAAGTGCTTGAAGTCAGGCTGCAAAAGGAAGGAGATGATGAAACTAGTTTGTGACCAGTGCCATGGAAACTTCTGCATAAAACATCGGCATCCACTGGATCATGACTGCAAGGGGGCAGGCCGTCCTATCTCCAAAGCAGGGTGAGGATAGCAGCCTATACTTCTGGTCCTGTGACACTGGAGTTAGGCAAGCAGTTGTCTGAGTTGGTGGGTGG